GGTGGGGGGGTGGGGAAGAGGTATCCAGACCTCCTCATCCAGGATGTCACAAGCCAGACGGATGCGGGACACATCAACGAGGTGGGGCTCAGATTTTAACTTTTTGGAACGCAGGCTCCACAGCTTCACACATGAATTATCGAACCCAGCAGCAAGCAGCTTGCTATTTGGTGAAATCTCTGCAGTGTTCAGCAACTGCTCTGTGTTATAGAAGGCATAGAAACAGATGGTCGTTAAGGAAGGGGGCCCATCCTTGACACGTTTAATGCTATCCTGCAGTAAATCCAGTGCCGCCTCGTTCTGCAGAATGGAAGCCGGCACATCGCTGGGTTCCAGGCCGTTGCTCTCATTGCGTGAGGAGCTCCCACCAGCGTAGAGCTGGTAGTCAGTCCTCTTGGCGGGCTGCACATCTAGATGAATGTGCAAGGTCAGGACTTTGCACAGGGCATTGTTGTTGTCACTTTGGAGGTAGCGAAGAAGGTAGTTGTAGCTCTCCTCTTGAAGGCGGATGACATACTTGTTGTCCAGAAAAGCCCGGAGCTTCAAGTTGGACAGTATATCTTGAATAGTCATAGTAGTCTGCAACTGCTCAATGATATCCTTCTGGCTGGCATTCTGTAAGAACATGCCATGGAAGCGGCTGTAAAAACTGTCCACTGTGCTTTTTAGGCCATTCTGGACCATGTTCAGATGGAGGTAGACGAAGAGGGGATACAGAAGAGGCATCACTTCATGGCTGTGCTGAGAATCTGAATCTATATAAAAAACAGCAACAAACTTTGAATGATTTCTCAATCCACTTACTACTGGGAATAAAACAGAGCAAGGATAATTACTGCAAAAAGCTTTGACAGTGGCATCAGAGAGCAAGCAAGAGGAGACTTTTGTTAGCACATCTAAGTGAACCTCTTCTGTCACCTCAAGAGGATACACAGTACCTATTAGAGATCAGAATAGAGATTTTTAAGTTGGTGAGGTACCCTGTCAGAACAAAATGCAGGTATTTCAAAACTGGTTTTAGGTGTGGGCTAGCTATTAGAATACCACCTTATAAAATGACAGCTGAATTTTTCCTGTTTACTTAAGAAAAATGGTGCCCTCTGTCTATTGCAATAAATGGACTTTAAAATTTTCTCATATTTAATATAGTACTTAATGTGTTTAAGTCAAAATTATTTACCTAGCTTATGCGGGCCTGAACTTTGGTGGCCTTTTTCCCCCCTCTCAGCTTCAATAACGCTTGCATGTGGTGCTCTGGATGGAACTGATTTGTCTCCAGCGGAAAGGAAGCTAGTTTCCAAAATGTACTGCAATATGCTATGCTCTTGTTTTATTTCTGTGCCTGCTCATGTGCAAGCTTTCTCTCTCTCTCTCTCTCTCTCTCTCTCTCCTCCTCACTCTGCCAAGGCAAATCCCAGCAGTAATTCCTAGTACACAGTGTTAACAAACTCCTGATTAGGCTGTACAGTACCTTGCAGAGACTAATCTGTGCAACAGCTCCACCCCTCCTTCACCAGCTTTTTGGGGCTGTTTCCCCATGCTCAGACGGCTGCAGGGAATTTTAAGGAGTGGAGCCCTGCTGCAGGACACCACAGCAACGTACAGGGCCACAACAACAAACTACTGGAGGACCTAAATGGTCCAAATTATTGGAACAAACCAGGAATTGCTAATCCTCAAAACAGCATTGCTTGTCTTCAAGCAGCACGTTTTCTTTTCAACATGTTCTTCACTCCTGCCACTCAGCAATGCGTATTCTTTTTTTCCCCTTTCCATTAGGTTATTTTTCCTCTCCTGTAGGAACACTCTTCCAGACTTTCTCTGGTCCATACTGTGCCTCTCCCCCACTTCTATATGAGTAACTACAGAGTGTTTATACTGTGCAGTGTATACATACGTATTTGCATACTTAAGCATCTTTCTCCTTTCTGTCCCACTAAAACACGGCCAAAGCCAGTGAAACTAGTGGTCTGTATGTAGTAAAAGCTCTAAGCAGCCAGTAGATGCTCTTTTCCCTGCAGGTTCTCTAGTCCAGAAATGCAAGGGGAAAGACCTCACGCTGCAGTGGAGGGGAAAAGAAAGAGATGGGATGTTGGCAGAAACAGGACCAAAGAAAACATTCCCCAAGAACAAATGAAGATAGGTTATGGGAGCTGGGTCAGTCTAGCCTGAAAAAGAATAAAGGTATGACTTCAATACCCAGTGGGATATTATGTAGGAAAAGGGGCCAGCCTCTTCTCAGAGGTGCCCAGTGAAAGGACAACAGGCAAACTGTTGCAAGAGAAATTTTCACCAAATTGCTCAGACCTGCAGCTGGGGCCCAGAAGTGCAGAGCAACCTCTGTACTTTCTGATTTTCAAAACCTGGCTGGACAAGGCCCTGAGCAACCTGATCAAACTCTGATCTTGCCCTGCTTTGAGCAGCTGGTTGAACTGGACACCTCTAGAGTAATTCCTAAATTGGAAATGGTCCTAGTCCCTTGCCCAGTCCTCAGTGCCCCTGGGGGCAGGCATCACAGAAATGGGGAAGTGTCCTGCTGTGCCTTGTGGCTGGCTGGCAAGTTTCTCTCTTGCAGAAACAGAAGCAGTTCACATGCATAAGAAATCAAAATTGAGCAAAAGGGACCAAAAAAAGAGATTAAAACAGTCAACCGGAACACCAAAACCATGCCTAGCACTTCTCCACATGGTATTTAAGACACAGAACAGAGCAGTCATACTTCTCAGAAATCTATTAAACCATATGGATTTACCTCCAATACTAAAGTGCAATGGTGTTGAACTGCTCTAGGTGGCAAGGCTAAGACATCAGTATTTTCTGTCTCTGCCTTCCTCCTTCCCTTTCCCTTCAACAACTATCAGGAATATTAATTTTAGTGTTATGCACACTGGGATCAAATCCCTACACTGTACAAATGTAGATGTGCCTAAAGGCAAGAGGAGTGGCAACCTCACCTTCCTTGGTACTATTCTCTAAAATTCCTACCTGCTTTCTTCTTCCCACCTTTGGGACTCACAGAAGAAATGAGGACATTCCCAGGAGTACCTTTTTCTTTAATTATTAAAAAATATATCAAAAAAGAAAAATCGTGATTGTCTTCTGCATCACACTACAGAACGAGAGAGGTTTTTTTACATTGTCATATACCTCCAGTCTCAAAGCCAGTACAGATAAATTTAAGAGATAATTTGTTCCCTTAAAAATCTAGACCATCATAAAACCCAAGCCATTTATGAATAAAATTAAAAAACCCTAAACTAGGAAACAGCAAATAACTACACTCATTCCTAAATTACCTGCCTTTCATATAAAACACTAATCGTCCTTCTTGTCCTGTATATGTATATCGTTGTCTATAAAGATCTACAAAGGCCAAATGCGTGAACAAGAGCAAATAGTCAGCTATCTACAAAAGCCAAAGATACTTGACACTCAAACAACAAAAAAGAAAAACAATGCATCTGATTATAGTAACTGAAATCTCAAAACTAGAAATAAAGATGGTTAGAGACATGATTTGAAATTTTATTATATTGTCCTTTACTCATTGAAACAACAACAAAAAAGTTACTTTCCTCTTCCTTGCTTCCCAATACTTACCTGTGAGAAAATTCCGTAACCGTCCAAATTGTACTTCATATTGCTGTGGCTCCGCCAGACAGGGAGCTGCAGACACAACGTTGGCACAACCAGATTCAGATTGGACTGTGGAATAAAGTAAGTAAAAATTAGATAGGGATTTAAGGAATTTTGCATGTGTATCTGGAAACAAAGTTTCTCATAAAATGCAAGGTAATGCAGCCACCAAGATGACATTTCATCTTTTAAACCATCCAGGGATGACATAGTCTGAAGTATCTAAACACAGGATTAACAACCTAGACAGATCATGAATGAGAGAGTATACCCCAGCTCCAAGAGTCTCAGCAACTCACCTGCTCACCCCAGAATACATTTTTAAGTTTTCAAATACAACCCTAAATTCCCAAGAATTTCAGAGTAACACTGTCACAGATTCCTTAACAGTTTTACAAGACACTCAGTAGTTTTACTACTTTGCTGTGCTTGTCTTTTCTGAGTGCAATCTAAAGACTTTCTCCAAAACAAAGCTTTTTTTTCAGCAGGACCCACCAACCATCATGGAGAGGTCTGCAGTGACAATACCTCAGAGTCTCTAATTCCTTGTCCCCATCATTATCTTACAAGTGATAATCATTATCATTTACTAGTCTCCCAGAGGTGGTGGTAAAATCACATTGAATCTCTAAAGTAAACACTTTGTAGTTTTTAATCAAAATGTGTCCTCCTCATTGAGGGTTTTAGATTAAAGGGCAGCTGGTATCTGATCACAAACTCAGTTGTTATAGTTTCCTGAGACAGTGTTAAACTGATTTTTCAGAACCAGTATCAAACTCTGGTAAAAGTGGTTCTGAACTATTTAGAAAGAGGATTGGGTTCTCCTTCTCTGGCACCAAACCTGTGTGCTTCTGTTAACCTCTCAGAATCCAACAGGGGACTTTGTGCAAGTTTACAGACAACCGCCAACATGCCCCAAACATATACAAATACCAGTGATTAGAAACACGGCTTACAGAATTACAACCAATATGCTTATTCACCTGCTCTTCTAAGAGCATGAAAATGCAAGAGTTTCACTGTTTCCTTTCCTACTTTTTTTAGATTCATGTTTTCCCCTCCATAAAACCTATTTTCATTACTCTTACTTTCAATTCCTTTAATTTCTTTCAGTCTCCCCCACTCCCCACCGCTTTCCAGTCTCTCTCTTTGCCTTCCTACTCCTGACTGATCGCTTTTTATTCCAGTATTTGGCTCATGCACAGAGGCAAAACTCTGACAGCCCTGGAAGTCTATAAACAACATCATCAAATGTTCACATGTTAAAGAGAGATAGGCCAGCCTCCAGCTCTTCTCAATGCTTCTAATTAGGAAGAGATCAACACATGGTGTACAGGCAGCCTGTCACTATTCTTTGCCCCCTGTCTCTCTGGTCTATCTTCCTGGGGCTTATGGAAATACAGGTCAGTTTACCAACTCTTCAGGGCAAGCTGAATTCACCTTTGGAAATAGAGAGCTGGCCTGTGCTTATCATCCCCTCATGGGAAAAAAACAAATACAGATTCCAGCACCAATACCCTATCTTCTCTCAAATCAGTTTAGAAATAAACAAATATAACCTGTTGAAAGGTTGTGCTTTCTACAGCCTGGCTGCTTCTGAACCTCAAAGCTGGTTAAGAACTCCAGGCTCCCATACTGGTATACTTAATGGCTAAAGTAAAAAACTGCTATTTGGACTTAAAATTTAATATAATCAATATTCAGCATGAGAAAAAGTAAACTGCATGCACATACATGTAGTAACTTAAAAATGCTTAGTGACGGTTTTCAATGTCACCCATACTACTCATTGTAAAAGCAAAGAAAAACAGAAATATGAGGGCCTGTATTTTATGCTGTGTCACGGGGTTACGTACAAAGGTCAACTCTTCATAGAGTTCTGGTGGCCTCATTTCAGCAGCAATGGGAATGACTTCACACATTGCTTGTGCCATGCAAGTACAACTTACTGTCCTTGGCTTTATGAACTGCTCCCTCCATGCCACCTTTTCAACTTTGTCTACATAAGCAACTTAATTCCAAAATTAAGATGTACTTCATGTTTCAGAGAGGGCAGCTTCATCTCTGGCTACCTACTCTGGAACAGTCTGACCAGAAAATCATTATGCCCTAACTCTTTCAGTAATGGTGCTAGAGCTTGCTCCCATCTAGCAAATAGTAATGAACCCTTCATACCAGACAGTTATAAACAAGTTCAAATTCTATTTTTTTTCCTTCCCAAAACTTTACACCAACCAGAACTGCAAAAGGGATCCAGAGCTCAACTAATTTCAAAACAAGAGTAAATTTTCAGGCTTTTTTTCCTCCTGATGTAAACAAAACACTGGCCATATCCTTCTCATACATTAATAATCTACCATAGTTTCTTTTCCACCTTCCCCAGTGGTCATAAGAACACCTGCTGGAAACATCTGCTCTTTGACTTCACTTCCAGTAATTGCAGCTAACTATGCAACCTGACAGCAAAGGAACTTTCTCCTAACTCAGGAACTCAGGGATATGGACAGTACCCTCCTGGTCTTGAGTGTTGGCAGCATCGCTTCCAGCTAACAAATGTGGGGCTACTGTCAACGCTGTTTAACAGCAACTGATTCCTTTTTTACGTCAGCGTGATAACATATAATTTTACATTATTTCAGATAGTCCTATGTACCAAAATTATACTATGGGCAATATTAGAGGAACCTGTTTAAATGCTGGGGTTTCAACCCCAAACCCCAAATTAAGGTTGACATATGGGTGATTCCCACAGCCCTTCACAAAGCGGGGGTGAGTTTACCTTTAAGCTTCCCTCCAGGGTGCAGCGGCCTGGCAGGGAGAGCCATTGGGTAAATGAGCCCCAGGTGTCCCACATTAAGTAAACAAAGGTCAGGTGTCCTACTTAGGGATAAAAGCTGGGACCACTTGCAGGCAGGGGCAGTGTCTGTCTGTGAGGTGGATGCACTTTGCAGAGTTCCCTGTTGGGGAAGGACCTCCTGCCTCCCTGGAACTGGGCTCCAGTCAGGTCTGGCTTCTGTAAACACAGGCTGTGTAGAGATTCAGTATGTGGCTTCCTTGGTCTTATGTATTTGGCTTGTTGACTCAGTTGTCTCCCATCCCTTCTATAGGAGACTGCATTTCACCATCTATTCCACCCATTGTTGGTTGTGCAGTGTCATTGTTGGGGTCAGTGGGGTTGATGTCAATGACATATAATCTGACTTGTTTGTACCCCCAGTGCTCACCCATGTACTGACCCTTTTGTATCAAATACAATTTGGTTATTGGTTCATCTTTATGCTGGCTGTGTCCTTTATGCTAGGCCTAATAATTGGCAAAACACCTGTTCCTTAGTCATTCATTCTGTTCTCAAATATTATTCTAGTTTTCTACAGAATAGTCAGGATAGTCACAAGGAAGCTCTGTGCTGTACTCTACTGTAGATGCGATCAGACAGGGTGCTAGGTAATCTCATCTGGGTTCCCTTTCCCATGAAAGCTTGGACCAGATGATCTTTCAAGGTCCATTCCAACCTGGCCTGCTCTGATTCTGTGAAAACAGCTGTACAGATATAGCAAGTACATGAAGCAATGGAGAAGGGCTGAACTGGAAGAAGACAAAAAGAAATGCTGAGGTAAAACTGAGAAACAAAACTAAAACCAAAAAGAGAGGACACTTTTCAGTGTGAAAGAAGAAATCACAGAACTGAAGACAGAAGCAAGCAACTCTCCCATTTACAGGCTGTTTAATTTAAAAGTCAAACAAAAGTAAAGAGACAAATAGAAAAAGCAAGGTGAGTTTTGTTAAGGAACAAGTAAAAACATCTTAAGAAAAACAAACCTTGATAGCTTTCCCCCCCAAAAAAGCAATGTAGGCTTCAGAATCTAGTAAGTTTTTATTCAGTTTGCAAAACTGACTGCAGCAGAAAATATTTTCAGCCTCTGTTGTCAGAGTAAGTACAAACTGGGTTTTTCTTTTCGACAGTCATTCATGGAACTGCAGCATACTCACTGACAGCTTACTATGAGCATGTTTGACAAGAAGTAGTAAGCAGCTGAATACATGAGAGCAGACCATTTTCAGTCCTAATGAAAACTGATGACTAAGTTCTGAATCACCAGCCACAAAACCCTTGCACTGGCAAGAGGATACAGACTAATAAGAAGAAATTTAGGAATGACACTTGGTGGGAGATCAGTAAAAAGACAAAATCCAATCACACACTCATTCACACTCTTTACTGAAAGCACATTTTTCTGCATGATGCTATATGTAAATGCAAGGTCCTGCAATCCAATTCATCTCTTGTGTCCCCCTGTCCTAAATTCTAATCCCATTTCAACACTGACCTGCTATGACCTCTCCCATAAAATCTCCTATCAAAAAACATTTCAGCATTATACTTCGTTGGTTCCCTATCTCCCCCAGTATTATTTCAGGGAGTTGCAAAATACTTCTCACAGTTAATCTGAAAACAGCAAGGAAATGAAAAGTACTAAGAAAATGTAAGTCACTTCTAATAAAGAAATATTAGCCAATTTCCTTCTGGACATTTACCCACAAGTCACTCATCTTTGGATTTTAACTATGGCAAAATACCCTTAGAGGTGGAAAGAGCTCTTTTGGCATCCAGCCTTAGGTAGCTACAAGCACAGAGTTATACAGCAACTAATGTTTTGTCAAATTGAGTCCTATCACAAGTAACTAAGGTCTCCACCCACTCTTAGCCTGGGATACTGTCACAATCTAATCAGTTTCAGAAAACATTTCCTCCTTGCATCTTTACCCAAAGATCAGCCCAATATTTTCTACTACTTTTACAAGTAAATTTAATCTTTATAACCTTCATGTGTCTTGCATCTGTATCAATACTTATATGTGCTCAAGCAGTAGCTCAGTTTGTTATAACAAAAATAATTATAATGAAGACTATCACAGACAGGATTTGAAAAGCAAACAGTGTAGCAGGATTCAGAAGCCTTTAAGAAGGAAAAGAAGGGGCATGCAAGGAAATAAACGGTCTCATCCACTGAAGGGGTGGGTTTTTTCCTCAAGTGACAGAGCTGAGCCTTCACAACTAGAAAGCTGACTAGGCCAAGGAAACAGCCTTTATCACTTCCATTTCACATGATATAGCTCTTCTGGAGTACAAAGGTACAACTGATTTTCCTGCTTCTGCTTAATTCTTCATCTAGGTTCTTCTCTGTACATGCATCCCAAAGCACCACTGCTCACCAGACTTCATGTTCTTTGGGATACAACACATGCATTTTTCACTACCATGACCTGGTATTTCAGCCTGCTGATTCACTGACCATGAATTTCACCCTGTTACACTTTCATCCACGTTTACATTCTTCAGAAGTTCCTAACTGGCACCAACTTTGCACTGGGAAATTTCTTTAGTTCAAAAGGAGAGCTGTCCATATGTGCAGACAAATTCATGTAGTTACCATTATACATACTCACACTCGTCACAACTCTGCCAAGAAACAGGCACGGAAAAATATAATGATATTACCTGTGAGATTAGCTGCCATCTCTTCAGCAGTCTGACACAGCCTCAGCCCTTGTTTTAGGGGACCTTCTGAGTCCACATACTGACGGCGCTTGAGGTAGCAGGACACTGCCATCTGAATCTGTTCTGTGCGTACGCGTTTCATGACCTCAAAAGGAAAGAAAGACATGATGGGGCGCTTACTGTGTAGGTATACACGAAGCCTGACAGAGAACAAATGGCTCAGTATTTTCATTGCTGAAGTATGAAAGAAAATCTTTAGGCATGTGCCTCTCAGTACTGAGGTGTAACTAGATACTTGAATCTGAACCATGAAGATATTTTGCTGTCTAATTCTACTAATTTCACCAAGGAATCCAAAATACTTTTGAGGATTCTAGACTAAAACTGAAGTGGTGAGCTGATGTCTTGGATTCTGTTAAAAATTAACTCACAGAAAGGGTATATTTTTTCTCCTTGCTTTTTTACAGTAGCAGTTTGAATATTCTTAAGTCATTTTCTGATTCCTCTGTTTGACCAACCAAACGATACCAGAAGAGTCAAGGGAAAGAAAAAATAATATACAGGAAGGGAATTTCAGAATCATAATGCTTTAAATAGCACACCTATTTTACCTGTTTGGGGAGTCCGAGAAGCAATAGCTTATCGCCTGAACTTAGAGCCAGACTTCAGTCAGGTAAGTCCCCAGGAAAAAAACAGGGAAATTATAAACAAAAGAGCAGCTTTCTGCCTTTTTTGCCTGCCCCCATCTATCTAGACTTGCCTCCTACAGAAGTTTTAAAAAAATCCTTTGAAGTTTCCTTTATATAAATTTCGAAAGCCATCCTCACAAACACCACTTAGTAGTATCTCAAAACCAAAAGGAGCCTGATGCTAGCTTTTAGCCTCTGGCTTGTAATAAAAGAACCTCAGTAAGATGAATGCAATAGCTCCCTTGCTATCTGAGTAGTCCCTAACTGCCACCAATCCTCTGCAATAGCCATTGATTTTACACAGAAGTTTAGATAACCTGAAAGGCTTTAAATAAAGCAGAACTAAGCAACAGTTTTATTCTACCAGAATAATCGGTAAAGCTGGCCTCAAGATAGTTGCACACCTTACAGCCCCACTATCAATGACCTGCATGTGTTTTACAAGTGCACATGCTTTGTGGTTTGAGTAGTTAAAATCCGATGAAACGCAGCTTCTCAGAGACATGGACAAGGATGCCCTTGTAATTCCCTCCATTGTAAGAACTGTATTTCTAACAAAATGACAGCTGTAAAAATATGATAGTGAGCCTTTTCTAATACCCATGCACACTTCAGTGCTTTTCCCATTGTTAGAACAATAAGCCCTCTGTCAAGATCCAAGTGGAGCGGGATGCAATGTTTCAGCAAAAGTTACTTTAAACAGATGGGTGGAATTGCAAACCCACACACCTTGGCAAAAACCTTAAAAATATTTCCATTTGTTCTCAGGTTTCACAGGTGAAATAACTGTTGAGGGTGGGGAAGGGGCATCAACAGGTGTGGAGTTTTCAAAGCATTTCCAGATAGACCCATTAAAATCATGAGTTTCAACCACAACTTTTTTCACTCCAAAAGCAAACTTCCTTTTCATCTTCCTTGCAATTAAAGAAATTATATCTAAAATAACGTAAGTCTCAAATATGACACTTTTTCTGCAGCACAAAGTTGTAGGAAAGACAGAATTCTAATGAAGACCATAAAAAACAGTGGACACTGTGATGGACCAGCATCTTGGCACCCTCCTAAAAAACACCCTTAACTAAGCTTCACGGTGTATTATGTTACCATTCTGCATTTTAACCAGCAGCATGTACAAGTGACTTGCCTAGGTCCACACTAATGCCTTTGCATGCAGTCTGTCAAACAGTTTAGGTCTGGGAAGCAACTTAATTATATTTGAGATACTCTCATAGATGCTTATTTCAGGTCTAGAAACTGTTTCAGAGAGTTTGCATCAAGAATGTTGTATTTGGCTTGTAATGCAAAAGAAACTCATTCCCAAAATGGCATGGAACAGATTCAACTGAAAGTTTCTGAAGTGGTTTAGCCAGTCAGAACTGTGCAAATCAGCCTCAGGTCTGTGGTTCAGTTGCAAAGAAAGAGCATCTAGAAATATCCTTGCCTGTACTTTTTTTGCTTCAGTTACAGGATCAATTTGCTCTAGGTTAGATTTCGTCAGAAAACCCTTTTTTATTTTTGCACAGCATTCATGTTCAGATGATTCCTCATAAACTTGCAATGGATTGGAGAAACCGAGAACTGGCACGTGAAAGATGCAGAACTCCAGAGGACGCCCTGAAATGACAGGGACAAACAAGAGGAGCACTGAGATCAGCCTTTTCAAGTTGCTGAATGAGCAGATGACCAACAGAGAAAATGTTAAATTTTAAATGATAGGCAAAAACCCCAGTAGTCTGGGTCTAACATCAGGATTGGACATTTCAGCACCAAGACAGAAAGGCCTGGGAAAGACAAGTCGCTGGCAGATGATTCAAATCTGAGCTTTTTCAGAGCTTTGGGGAAAACAGCGAAGTCCCAGTTTCTTCACCAAGGCTACCAAGGTGGTGTTTGCAGCTGCTTTATGCAATCTGTACAGCTTCTTATTCTCTTTGCACACCTTGTCTACTCCTCCCAGCAGTCACAGTAGTGGGTGTTATGAACAGTATCTTAAGGAGATCTCTTTTCCTACTCCCAGGTGACAGAACAGGAACTACCTTGCAGGAAACACATCTTCACCAACAAACACCCGTTGGCACCAGACACACCATAACCCCCACCTTCATTTCAGGTCTTTGTTTCTCTGTTCACTTTGCCTTTATACTTTACCCTCAGCATTACAAAGAGAAAGCATCCATGGAAAGTGCAAGAAGAGCAAAACCAACATTCCTACAAATATTCTTTATCACACCGTCAAAATTAAGAGTATATCACAAAATAAACATATGAATGGTCTGCCAAAAAGCCTTTAACTGGATTCAAGCTGAGTCAGTTCACAACAGGTCAATGATGCAGAATTTAAAAAAAAAAAAAAAAAAAAAAAAAAAAAAAAAGACAAGCCTGCCATTTTAACCTCTGATCAATTTTAAGACTCTATCTCTCATCACTGAAGATAATCTCCAAAATATGAAACAAAATGAAAGCATACAGCAATCCCTGTCCATGCCTCCAGAAAACTTGAAACAATTTTTCAGAAGTCACAGCTGCCTCATTCTTCTCAAACAGCCATGGAGAACAATAAACACTAAAACCATTAACTATTTTTACTGATAAGCAAAAAAGGAAAGAGAAGAAAGAGCACATCAGGAGTCTGCACAGCTACAATGCAGCATCTTCTGCAGTGTCACAAACTGGAGCACACACAAAAGAGTATTAGGTTAAAATTTTTTGAGGAACCAAAAACCACTGAAGAAACTCAGACGAGAGGCTGATCATACAAAACACACCACCAGTTCCCTTTTCCTAAAAAAGCGGGAAATTAGCTGTGTACTAAGCACTGGGCCAAGGAAATTAATTTCCTGCATATGCTCCATCTCAGGTACAGGTTTAGGCAGATTCCACGGCCTTGAAATATTACCAGTACAGACATATGAAAAAGAGCTTGAACATGAGCATTGGAAATGCTGCATTCCTGTCCTGATGCTGGGAGAGCAGTCTCTTCCAACAGGCCAAGGAAAGACCTTAAGAGAGCACCACCAAGGACAAGTAATCCTGAAAAAAAAACCCACCTCCAACAAACCAATAAAACAATGCACTAAAGAACATTCTGAATATTCTCTACTAAGAACTGTCTCAGGCCTCAGCTGCATGTAGAGAAGCACCATTTTTTATCTCTCATCACTACAGGTGAAATTTGGAGCCTTACCAACAATACCAAATCACCTCATTTTAAATTTTGTGACATAAAGTTAATCTAAAATTTACAGACTTCAGAATAAACAAGATTAGGATAAACCGATATGAATATAACACTGAACCTTGAGCTGAGGAACTTCAGAGACGGAGAGGCTGCAATTCGGAAAAAAGGCAAGTAAACATTACAAGTCGACATGGAGACGCGGCAGGGTGGTGGTGGTGCAAAATAGGAAAAGTGCTGCAGGCAGCAGGAACTACGGAGGCGGCTTTTGCCCGAGCAGCCGCGTTCGCTCGAAGAGGCAGAGAAGAAACAGCTGTGATTTTAGCAGAGCCTGCATCCACTTGCGTTGGACCTAGATTTGGCTCACCGTCCACGGACGAAGCTTCGCCAGCTCCGCAACGC